CTTAAACACCAAATCGGATGAAAGATATATATGGGAGCTATAGCTATATCTAAACCGATTTTCTCCAAATTTGATATACTTGCTTCTAGGCCGAACTCGGTTGGGTGTGCCAAAATTCAGGTAATTTGGACTGATAGTGGACATTTGGTGGTCAATTAACCCGAAATCGGATGAAGATATATATGGGAGCTATAGCTGTTTCTGAACCGATTTTCTCCAAATTTGTTGTATTTGCTTCAAGGCTAATCTCGGTCACATGTGCCAAAATTCGGTCCATTTGGGCTGATATTGGCCATTTGGTGGTCAATGAACCCGAAATCGGATGAAGATATATATGGGAGCTATATCCAAATCTGAACCGATTTCGATAAAATTTAAAACAGCTATTTCTGTGCTCCATCTAATACCTGGTACCAAATATCACGGTTGTGGAGTGCATAGTAGGAATGTGAGGGACTTAAAGATCAAATCGGATGAAAGATATATATGGGAGCTATAGCTATATCTGCACCGATTTTCTCCAAATTTGATATACTTGCTTCTAGGCCGAACTCGGTTGGGTGTGCCAAAATTCAGGTAATTTGGACTGATAGTGGATATTTGGTGCACATTTGACCCGAAATCGGATGAAGATATATATGGAAGCTATATCTAAATTCGATCCGATTCTCACCAATTTCAATAGGGTTCGTCCTTGGGCCAAAAAAATATTGTTTGGAAAATTTCATCTCAATCGGATAATAAATGCGACCTGCATTTTGTTCACAAGAATACATGGACAGACGGACGGACGGACGGACGGACGGACGGACGGACGGACGGACGGACGGACGGACAGACGGACTGACATGCATAAATCGACTCAGAAAGTGATTCTATGAAGGTTCTCAAAAGTAACTATGGGTCTATCTCGTTTCCTTCTCCATGTTACAAACAAATGCACAAAGACATAATACCCTTACCACTATGTGGTGTAGGGTATAAAAATGGAAAAATTATGGCGTTTGACTTTGTTCCTGTTGTTTTATCTTACCCTTTATACTATATATATATACGTCATTTGGGTAAAGAAAGGGTTTTTGTCATAGGAGTTATTTTTAAAATACTTCCCGGGGAGAATATCTCAAACAAAAAACAAGGAAACTATTAAAGATTGGTGGATCTTTCCGAACCCTTGTAATCCCTGCCGTACCTTGTAAACACTACCATCTTTTTCCACTTATAAACAAACATTGTTTTCATAAAAACCACAATAATGGGATGGAGTATATCTGTTTTGCAACAACAAAATACTACGGTACAACACTGTTCCATAAAATATAACCCAAATATATACTACCATCTAATTTGGTGGGAATTATATCAGAAATCTTCAAAATAGCGGAAATCGTTATAGTTATATATAAGTTATATAAATTTGTGGAACTGAATCGAATTTGATATAGCCTGTTTTCAATACCAATTAGCCTGCATGTAAGATAAGCCTTTGTTTAACTCACATCACTAAATCGACTTAACATTTTACACTGATCAAGAATATATATACTCTTAGGGGTATCTTAAAAAAATTTCGAGGCGTTGCAAATGTAATGAAAACATTTAATTTACTCTCCATTGTATGATGGAGGGTATACAAATACGGGCTCACAACGACTGTTTTCACATACTATGAGATAATATTGAACCCAGGAGATCCTATCTAATCCTCTAACAGGGTATTACACATATGGATTAAAGTTGTGGAATAACCCTCATGTACGATATCTTGAAAGTTTGCAATTTTATGCTTCAAGTTCCCATGTAGTCCGATGTGACCTCAGAGAATACCGATTGGTCATTGCGTTCTGTCTCATCAATTTTATCAACCAGCGATGAGATAGATTTTAACCACAGAAATAAAATTGTTATTTCGAGACTATAAAGATAAAACCTCATTTCAAATGCGTTCATATCTTTTCCCTCCCTTGGACCTTATCGTCTACATTCGGCTATTACGGTTGTCGTCGTCTTCGCAAAATGAAGCCGAGGCGACAATAATGGTATTAGGGTTGTCGTTTTTTGTCGATAGCGTTGAATGATTGCTATTATCATTATCGATGCAACAGTCGACGTGATGTCATTATACCCTACAACACTATGTGTTGGGGGTATTATAAGTTTGATTGGGCCAAAAATTATGTAACACCTCGAAATATTGGTTTCCCACATAGGAAAGTATATATGGATCTTCCTAGCTCGCCGAGCTGAGTCGATCTAGCTATGTATGTCCGTCCGTCCGTCTGTCCGTCTGTCCATGTTAATTTGTAATCACTCTACAGGTCGCAATTATGGCCCGATCTTCACGAAATGTAGGTGGGGCTTGGACCAGAATAGAGCCCTATTTCTTTTGGAGATGATCGCCAAATGTTTAGGGGTTGAAATGGACCAAATACTGAAAAAATGTCGGATTTTGCAGTAACTATACAGGTCGCAATTATAGACCAATCGACACGAAATTTCGCATGTAGATAGAGTTTAGGGCGGGGAAGAAGCCTACTAATTTGAGTGGTCATCGGATACTATTTAGCGGGTAAAATATACCATATCTTTTGTGTTGAAAAAAATCAAAATTTTTCATTAAACCGTGAATATTTTAAATCCCGGCGAAATCACAAAGCCATCACAAGGTTACTTCTGACCTTTACATTGATGTTATTATCCAACAAATCGGATATATAGCAAAATATGTGCGATATATATGTCTATCAAAGGATATATGCTTGAAAGATCTCTTATATGTCGAGAACGGCTGAACTGATTTCGGCAGTTCTCATTAATTCAGAATGGCCTCTTGGCAGGAAAGAAACGTCTAAAATTTGCATAAAAATATCTCTCTAAAGATGAAAATATTGATTTTGTAACATTTTCTCATATTTTTTCAATGTTGTCATATTTTTGGCATATTTTCATTTTGAAGTAAACATTTGGTAATATTTATACGGCTAACAAAACTAAGTAGTTAGGATAGCAGGATATCATATACAGATCGCATTTATGGCCCGATCCTTACGAAATTTTGCATGGGGATAAGATGAGGGTCAGAATAGAAGCCTACTCTTTTTGGAGATGATCGCCATATATTTAGGGGTTGAAATGGACCAAACAACTGCAAAATTGTCGGCAGGTCGTAATTATCGCCCGATCCTCACGCACATTTGAATGGGGGTTACCGCACATTGCAAAAGCCAAGCAGTTTTGGATGGCCATCCAAAAATATTCAATGTGTGAAATAGTTTGCCAACTTTTGTAGACAAAATACGAAAATGTCCATTCCAGTGACTTTTTGGAGAATTCACAAATACAGGAAAGACGCACTTCCGACTATTTCGTTAACGTTGATTTCCTTGAAGAATATAGTCAAATGTCTGTATCTCATATAGATGCGTTTCAGTCAAAAACCAATAATAAATGTTAATCTTTTGCCACTTCTGAGAGGTTATAGGTCTTTGGGAAATATTGGTTCCAGATCTAGGAAGACCATTTATGTGCAACATCTACCAATAAATTGGAAATGAGCAAATTAGTTTAAGTTGCTATTATTCGAAAATTAGAGAACGAAACCTGATGGTTTTCTTTTATTATTTGTCACAATTTCTTGTGGAATTCTGTCGAGTATTTCGCCTATATAAACTGTATGGTTTATTATAGTGTTGTAGGGTATTCAACGGTCGGCCCCGCTCGACTGTAGCCTTTGCTTACTTGTTTTTAGAGTATATTTGTCGCCGTAAGAAATTTTGATGACATTGTATTTTTTAGTCAACGTTGATATTTTAACCATTTTGTATTTGATAATTGACCATGAAAATAACAACAGCAAAATAATTTGGAAATATTGAAGTCATTTCCGACACTGGTCAAATAAAATCCTAGCGCTAAAAACCTCAATGCTGTGGCCAATTCGGAACAACTCTAGTTTTGCAAAAACTCTTCTATTTTTTTTTTGATTTTCCAGAGGTAGGTATTTCTACCCAGATTCCGGGAAAACTATTTTTTCTTGGGGTACTGACCAGGGTCCCCAGATTTTTGACTCGAAAGTCCGGGTTCAAGACTCGGATCCACTTACCCGATATAGGCATCGTTTGAATGCTTACCATATGTAGACAATATAGGTATCGCTTAGAAAATACCTATCCAACAAGTGGTCACATGACCACCGAAGGCCGGCTACTTACAACAACAACAAAATTTGAAAACTTTAGTTCGCGTAGACTGTTGAACATACCCAAAAGAGAATATCTCTGGACCCAGAAAAGGTATTAGCACAAATTGCACCATTTTGGAAAGGTAAGAGTGTCAGCTATAATCAATTTTGTTGATAAAAATCCGGGTCTAAAAAATCGTTAATTTGACTATTTCCGAACCGCTTTAAATAACCCCAAGTGACCACTTGTTGGATAGGTATATATTCATAAGCGATACCTATATTTTCTATTTTGGCTAAGTGGAGCCGGGTCTAGACCGGGCCTTGAACCCGGGCTTTCTGGTCAAAAATCTAAGGTCCCCAAGAAAAAAAAATAGTTTCCCGGAATCAAGTAAAAATACCTACTACTGGAATTTCGAAAAAACTAAGAGTTTTTACTAAACTAGAGTTAGGCCGGCCACTTTAATTTCAGGCCAAGAGCCAACGACCGGCGCACACTTTGCCGCTTTGGCGAAATTTCTTTTAGCACATGCTTGGAGCCAGGCAATGCAAGAAGAAATTAAGATTCGAAATACAAAAAAAATATATTGCCAATAAGGAAGTGTTGCCAATTTTTTTAAACTATCGATGTCGCTTCTATGCCTTACCGTAATATAGTTATTGAATTGAAGCGACAGCGATAACGACTTGCACATAACGTCGACAACGACTATAGAAACGACAACCGTAATTGGGCCGATTGTTTTGTTAGTTAACTCACCTATCGAATCTGGCAATCATAGCAGCAGTGGATGAATGAAACACATCTTTTGAGTACATCATGATAAAGTTTTTGAAAAAAATTTTAATGGACAAAATACCGAAAATTCATAATACTTATAATTACATAACTTAATTAATTACTTACATATAAAGTTTCTATGAAAACTTATTTATCTTTACACTATTGAGATAGAGAACATTAAAAACAAATAGCCTATAACAATTTACATTGCATTTCAGAAACACATTGACAAAATAACTTATACTGAATTATTCTTTGGTTATACTTATTTTAAGTTGGTTAGTTTTGTGTTTTTTGTTTTTCTTTTTCTTTGTATTGTTTTTGTTTTATGTTATTCTGTTTTGTTTTGTTTTCTTTTTCTTTTGTTTTTATTCGATTATCGATCTTTGTTCTATTCAGTTATTAATTGATACTAATCTAGCAATTATTTGTTGGCCAAAGGCAATGCCAATATTTTGTGGCTATAAACAATCAACCTTCATCATTTCATTAATTCGTTTATGTTTTTTTGTTTGTTTGTAACTCAGATATAACTGAACTTAAAATTAAAAAAAAAAAATCAGAAAATATTATTAAAAAAAATTTCAAATTTTATTGTGGAAGACTACATCAAGATTCTCGTGTTTTCTTAAATCCTGCTCCTTCAAGGGAAGAAATTAATACTAAATCGAATTGAATTGATTGAATAACGTTTTTAATAAATTACTTGAAGTTAATCTACATATACCTATATATTGATTTCAATAAAAACTCAAAATTGATTACATTAAACATTTTACTAATGTCGCTTCCAAAGACTAGAATAATAATTGGTCAATAGTTAAGTAAAGATGCAAATTAATATTATTTAAATAATAAATATAATGGAGCAGAAATACATAGTCTGTCCGGTAGAGATATTTGTGTCATAGTATAGTTACAGTTAGCTCCTTTATTGGCCGGAATAGACCCTCCTGTTTCGATGTGAAGAGAATAAAAAGTTTCGTGAAAGATTGACAAAAATATTTATTTAAAAAAGGGAACAATGTGAGAACTAATATAGCAGGATGGAAGTTGATCCGGTGGTGAAGAATTGATATGAATAAAACTTCTGGTACCCTACAGATATTATTTTCACTCTGAAAATTCTCTCACATGCATTCAAGATATTGTGATCGTCTGAATTTGTATAAGAAGCAAATAATTCTTTTTGTGGACAAATAGAGGACCGAATGGCCAATGAATACATCGCAATCGAACATCATAACAAAATGGGCCAATGTTAATTTTAAATTTTGTGTCTGAGGTGTCATTCGTTGTTATTTCAGTTCTGTGTATGTTTTTTTTCTTCTTTATTTTTTTCTGTCGTTTTTGGCTTTGCTCCTAGGCTACACAATGACACTTTTCACTTGAAAGAAAGTAAAGTTCTTCGAAGAGATTTTTTTTGAACAAAGTCTCCTTTGCACCCATAACCTCACGTTTTTTCCAATGAAAAATGAAAATTGTCAAGCATGCCTTAGAAGTGTGTGATTCAGATCTCATCACCTCACTTCCGGTTTGAATTAGTGGATTGACGAAAGTGTTATCGAATCTGTTTTGCTTGTGTTTGTCATTAAATATCGCAACAGTCACAAACACTATTCTCACTACGTGTGTTTGTCTGTATTCGCAAACATCGTGTTTGTTGCACGTGTATGCGTGACTAAATAGATGCTGCTGTACTAAGAGTATTGTTGTATGTCCTTAAGCCTAGTTTTGACTTATACTTATCCAAAGGGGTAAGGAGAAGAAGAGAAAGAAATTCATGTCTCGTATTTAGTAGCGGGTTGTTTGTGGTAGTGGTGGTGGTGGTGTTGTTGTTGTCGTTGCTCTGTCCGTTATAACTGTCAACATTGCCCCATGTGAGGCATCCTACAGCTATACAAGATGTCCATCGGCATCCGTAAATGCAACTGTGGCACCACCGGCATTGAACGTTGTCAGACTATGTGGATTTGCAGGATCGTAGGCCGCACTGGCGGTCATTAACAGGTTATTACTAATCCCAACCGAACTGGGTATGTTCAGCACTTGCAGACTGCCGGGTGGCGCGGCCACAGCCATCATGCCCGGCCCTATTAGCGAGGATTGCTGTTGTAGCTGATGCTGCTGCTTGTTTCGATTGGGGTCTTTCAGTATGCTTTGTGGTTGCTTAGGCGTAGAACTGGGCACTGACATCAAACTTCCATTGCCCACACTCGATGTGGTGGTCATCGTTGACGAGGTAGATGATATATTTAGTGGATGCAAGTCGTGCATCATATGTACACTGCCCATGTTGGAGGTGGTGTGATGGGTGACATCTGGCGGTGGTACATGTGAAACTCCTTTCAAAATGCCACGCCTCAATGTGCCACTTCCCCCATTCCCCATGGATGGAGCTGCCGCCAATATTGTACCGCTTATCATAGAGGCCTGCGATGCTGGTTGCAAGTGAGCCATTGGCATAGGTTGGGTGAAGTCTATTTGAGCGGCATAATCCTAAAAAAGAACAATGAAGAAAAAAAAACAAGAGATATAAATTAGTATCTTAATTAAAAACAAACAATGGAGAGCATGCGGAACAAATATTCAATGCATGTCCGAAGATGTCCTTGTAAATTATGTTTTATTTGGTCAAACTTCTCTCTAAGCGCAATTGTTTTCCCAGCCAACAACAAAAGGAACAAATTGTCAAAAAACGCGCTCTCTTCACCGCACACACACACACTCACACAATTGTTCATGTTGATTTGTATGGTTGTTGTTGTGTCGTCCTTCATAACAATTCATCCCAAAGTCTTTTTATGTCTGTTATTTTCTTAGAAAATGCTTATATAAACCGACATTTTAATGGGAAAACTTTTGCCTGCGCTGAGTTTTTTTCCTACTGCTGTTGCTCATGTCTTGGTGTGCGTGTATGTGTGTTAGCGAATATCCAACAAAAAAATCTGAAGAAAAAACCAAGCTGATAAAAGTGAAAGACAAACAAAAGAACTAGATTGTCATATCAAGTTTTTGCCACAACCTCTAAATACGTAGTTTTTTTTGTCGTTCGGGGATAGGAACGATGGAAAAGTTAGTTGCTTTATCCTGCTTTAAATTCACATTCCATTTTTCGACAAAGTCGAAAAAGGTATGAATGTTGTAACAGATTAAGTGTTCGTTTTCGAGAGCGATAGAGGGAGAAAGCGAGAGAGAGAGAGAGAGAGAGCGAGTTGATGCAAAACAGTCAATTTCTTTTTTCGGCATGTCCTGTAGTCATGTCGCAAACTATTTCTATGATAAACTATGTCAGAGTTTTTATTTTCTATGCGAAAGAGGCGAAAATGGAGGATATACAATATGCTTTTGTCAAGCCAGAAAGATGGTTGAAACTTTAAGTTTACATAGCATCTCAATGTTGTGATAATCATGTCCAGCATTGTTTCTTTAATTTCGTAGATCATTTGAATTTTGAGTGGCACAAACTAAATGCTGATATTGATATTTTTCAAATAAACATTCAAAAGAACAAATAGGTTAACGGCTACCCATAATAAAAACTATTAAAAATGGGTTCCTTTTTTTAATTTAAGTCAGCAATAACAGAAGTATTTTCCGCGTTCGATTCAACTGTTCCAAACTTTCTGAGCTTAACCAATCCTACTCACCAGTATTAAGCATAGACATACTGAAATGGGCGAAGAAGAACTAAGAAATTTGATTAATACGGAACTAATAAATTTTTACGAAAAATAAATGTTAGGGCGAAAAAGAGGGGCGAAATATTCGAAACAATGTTTGAGGGCTCCACACATTTTGGAATTTATATGGGCCTAACACTCGAGTATTATCTGTTATAATAATTTTAGTCTGTCGTTAAAAATTATTTTCAAATTACACACATCACAATATTTTTATTAACCCAAGTTATAGTGTGAAGATGGAATATGTCGGTGCACTCCTTCTGTTACCTCCCCCACAAAGGGTCAAAATTTTGAATAACAAAAACGATTATAAAATCGGAAATAAGCATCCGGTTCTCTTCATATTTCACACATTCCATTATTTGTACTAACACAAGATCTGCTGTGAAGATGGTGATGGCACCTCTCCCACAAAGGGTCAGAATTTTTTTCTCATTGGACCAAATCCGGTTCAGGATATTTGGAGGTGACATAGGAATGTCCGCTCGTCTGTCTGGCTGGTGATCGAGTTCGGAGATGGGCAAGATCGGTCCACTACATCTGGTACCTCTCACACAGAAGGTCAACATTTTTATAAAAAATAATTTACCGCATAGAAAAATGAAGCCTCATCCAATTTTATGCAAACGTTGCGAATCCTAATATTTATATCAACGTTGGAACAATTGGGAAGTTGAACAATACCGGGCCACTCCTTTTGGTAACGGGACAAAATTTTGAATTATTATAACCCTCATAAAATGTAGTGGAATTCTCTAATTCATTTGTTGAGTTACAGACAAAAGTCGGTACAATTAAAATGCTTACAATTTCGGTAATTAACGAAATTTAGTCACTAAGACCTACAGATATATATCAATATTGTCAAACTTAACTTCTTTTATTTCAAAATTTTTGGTTTCGAAGTTATCAATTTATGTGTTTGTTTTCTCTTTCGAGACGAGCTTAATGATCAGAAATTTGCAGTGAAAAGGAAAGCCAGATAGACACTATCACACACTCACCACTATGCGACGCGTTTCGCCGTTGGTTAAGCGGCTCATCAGGCATATTTGGTGTGGATGATGGCTTACAAGGGCCGTTTCTCTGGAAAGTAGTATATATTTCGAACATATTGCAAATTAGCATATGCGAATTATACACTAGAAACTCTCCAGGTTCGACTCAAGTTCTATTGGCAGATCTTTTTCACATTTATGTCTGTAACTCAAAAATGAGTTAGAAAATTGCACTACTGATGTGAATATGGAATTTATCGGCTCACACCGTCTCGTATAGTCTCAATCGGGCAAAACCGACTGATATTTTATTAACTTTTTTAATATGGGGTGATAATTTATAACGGTTTTCAGTTTCCTGAAGACGCTGGAAAAATTCAATACCGTTAGAACAAGAACCCGTTTCAACGTGTGTGACTGTGCCGAGATATGATATTTAGCTCAAGAAAGGCATAATATCGTTAGAAAATAATTTTAAAATCACTGAGTTCGGGTGCCTTTATACGGACCAAAATGATTACCACAACTGCCAATTGTTCTATTTTTACCATCACTTTCGCTGATAAACGTTTCTTAAGACCTTAAAGTAAATGAGGCTAAACCGTTATAAGGACGACTCCCATTGGATAAATATCTTGGAAATGACAACAATTTAATACTGTAAGTTATAATTGTTGTATGTATATATGACAATGACAATAATTGAATTTCCGTCCCAACTTCCGATATTTGTATATAAAAACTTCTTTTTAATATTTTTAAACTTCGATTTAAGCAAGTTGACGTATGAACCCAGTTATAAATTTTAAATTAAATTGTTAAAAATAAATCGAAAAAGAGATTGGAAAATAAACAACGGTCCATAGCACTGCAGGCTGTGTATGTGTACAGCCACACCCACACTAATGAAAATACGCGCTTTTGTCGCTATTTTTTGACATTCCATTGGTCACAATGTACCTGGACATTGAGTTGCCTATATGGCCACATGACCGTTGGCTATGATTACGACTTACGTAAAGCTGGTGTCGAAAGCATCCCAACCATCATCATTGCCATCGAGGAAAATACCTCAGCCAACCCCATTGGAATGCACCCTCCAAGCGGCAGTTCAAATTTGGACAGAAAAAAATTCAACAACAAAACAAAAAGCTTAATGCCCATAAGCCGGAAAATGTTATGCAGTCAAGAGTAAAGTTTCTGATCCAGCCACTATTGGACTTAAACCCCAAAAGTTGATAAGGCACAACTGTAAGAATGAGCGCGCGTGTGTGTGTGGGTTACTTTATAGATTATACATGCATTGTACCCTGTACTCGTATAGAAAAACGCATTCTCGTGATTTTTTGTTTTTTTTGCATAAAAATCCATATTGCTGTAGTGTAAAAGTGCACCACCGCATTAAACATATGCCACAGCACGAGACAGATAACAAAAAAATTAAACATACCTATATGTGTGCATATCCATAAATACATACACACACACACACATGTAGAGGTTGGCTGCTGTTTGTTCACTAATCTGGGCAATTAATGATGATTTCATTCACTCTCTGGGGAACAGGAAATTGAAATAGTTTTTCACATTTTCCTTTTTTGCTGTCGGTTGGCCACGTAACACAACCTTTAATCAAATGCAAGCGAATCGACAAAACACACAACCCTTTGATTTTTTAAACTTTAATAAAAATATAAAGCCAATGGGATATTTCATTATTATTTTGCAAATAAAGGATGCTGATTATTGACATTAAACCGGGTTTAATTTTACCAAAAGCAAACATCTGTTTCGTGATGAGAGAGAGAGAGAGGGTCGGTTAAAGTTAAAGTTAAATAAAAATATGGCAGAGATATTTAATATCAAATCGGATAAAACGAATATATGGGAACTATATCTGGACCGATTTTCATCAAATTTGAGATACATCTACATACATGGTGCCCGACAAAGAAGAAGCATTACAAAAATATATATGGGAGCTAAAAAATAAATAACTTCCTATAGATTTATACGGCGTACGGAATAACAACATTAAAGCTTGTTAGCTATTTTGAGGAAAATTTTATAATTTGCGTAAATGCATACTTCAATTTTGTTTGTTATTGGAATAGGAAATATTTATACTTAATATTTACGAAGTGCTCCTGATACTGATATCTAACATCCTAGCACAAATTGTTTGACAATATTGTCCCCATATTACGGTTTCCTTCCGAAATTCGGAATTTTAAGGAATTTGAAAATATTCTCCCCTCCAATTTGTATTTAGCAGAAAATACTTTTACAAATAATTCGGAATATGTCCTATTTTCCAATACTCGCTTGCCTTGGTGATGGATGCATGGTTCTTAAAGTTCGTCCTAAAGCCTGTTTACTTGTTGGCATGTATTAGTTTGTCTACGGCGAGTTTCGAACTTTCAACCATTGAATCGTACATATACATTCTGTATCACCGCTTCTAATTAATATATAACCTCAACTATTGTTTTTTATTGGCAACTGACTGACATTTTAAGATAACACCCTGCATCGTATTGTTTCATTTCAGTTCAGTGCAATATGCCGATCGACTTTATTACAGTGTGTAGACCTAAACCCAAAGGAATCTACAACGGCTCGACTGCCTTATTACTTGTAGCTTTGCCATTTGGATAGAGCAATAGTGTCTAATAATTTCTTCGTCAAATACAATTGCCAGCTGGTAAATTTTATTAGCCCTAGATGGGGGATATACCTATTTATATGACTTTAACAGGTTTAACCTCTGCAATGATGTCGAGTTGGATTTTTTCTTGTTTATTTTCATTTCACT